TTTTATGGCACTGAGTTCTTACCTTCTTTTGTCAACTGTGCGTTACTTTTTTTTTTAATGCTTCTGAAAGTGAAAGCTTAAGTCTCTGATTTTAAGCCTTTCTTTTTTTGTAAGACATTTAAAGCTGAAATTTGCCTCACAGGTCATTCCATAACTAATTTTTTAATTAGTTAATCTTTAAGTATTCATTTAAATTTTTGATAATTTAACATTTATTGACGTGTAAATGACCTACAATAAGCTACACATATCAAAGTGACACAACCACCAAAATAATGAAAGTGGACACACCCACCCGCCAAGTTCCTGCATGCTCTGTTATAGTCCCTGACTTTCTCCCTCCCATTCCACGGAAGCGTTCATTTTGTGAGATGTTGTATTTATAGAATCATACTCCCGCTTTCTGTGACTTCTTTCACTCAACTAGTTTGAGATTTATTCAATATGTTGTGCTAAAAATAGGCATTCCCTTTCATTTTACCCATCATACAGAGCCCGGGTGCACAGTGGTTAAAGTCCTCAGCTGCTAACCAAAAGTTGTCCGTTTGAGCCTGCCAGCCACTCACTTAAGAGTATGATGTATCAGTCTACTTTGGTAAGAACTTACAGCATTAGATGTTCAGTGGGGCAGTTCCGTTCTGTCCTAGAGGGTCGCTTTGAGTTGGAATCAACAGGAGTGGATATTAATATACCAAAATGTGTTCCCTTATTCACCTACTGGTGGACATTGGGATTGTTTCCAGTTTGGGGGTATGACAAAGCTGCCGTGAGCATTTATGCATACGTGTCTGTGTGGGCATATGGTTTCATTTATCTTGGTTAAAATACCTAGCAGTCAAGTGTTTACTTTTATGATAGATGCATGTTCAATTTCCATTCCATCAGCCGCATTTCAGAGTTTTAGTTGTTCTGCATCCCCTGAACCCTTGATATAGGCAATCATTTGTATTTTAACTGTTCTGGTGGGTACATAAGGGTACTTTGTGTTTTAGTTTCATTTCCTTAAGAAGTCCTGGTGGTCCGATGCTAACCGAAGGATTGACAGTTCCAACCCACCCACCCCACAGCTCTGATACCATAAAGATTACAACCTAACAACTTTTATGGGGCAATTTTACCATGTCATATAGGGCTCGCTGTGAGTTGGAATTGATGCTGCACATGGTTAATGATGCTGAACATCTTTTCACATGCTTCTGTGATTTGCCATCTGGATATATGCTTTGATGATGAGTCTTTAAAGATCTTTTTGTTCATTAAAAATATTTTTAATGGACTTTATATTTTAGTAAAATTTTAGATTTGTAGCTTTTAGTATGTTCAGTTCTCATAAACTCTCTACCTCGTTTCCCCTATAATTACCAGTGATATCTACAGTAGTATATTTAGTATTATTGATGAATTATCTTATACTAAATAAAGACTATACTTTATCCAGAGTTCCTTGGTTTTTACCTCATTTTGTTCACTGTAGAAATTAGGTTGCCTTATTAGAAATTAGATGCAATATATCCTAGTAGATGTCTTTTGTTTGGCAAAATTTGTATTCCACTTCAGTGGCTTGACTTTTACATGTGTAACACTCTTTTTAGAAGTGCAAAATTTCAAAATTTTTTGAAGTCAAACGTATTGATTTAAAAAATAATTTGTCCTTTTGGTGCCCTATTTAAAAATTCTTTGCCAAACCTATTATCACTAAGGAGTGGAGTCTGGGTGGCACAGTAGTTAAAGAGCCTGGCTGCTAACTCAAAGTCAGAGGCTCGAGCCCATGAGTTATTTTGCAGGGAAAAAGAAGCAGTCTGCTTCCATACAGATTTATAACCTTGGAAATTCTATAGGTAGTTCTTCTGCTCTATAAGCTACAATCAGCTCAGTGGCAGTGGGCTTGGCGATTTTCTTAATGTCACCAAGATGTGTTCTTGTAGAAGTTGCATAGCTTAGCTTTTAATATTCAGGTGAGCTTTTGTGTTTCATCAGTGGTTCATATTTTTGCATGTCTCAGCATTTGGTTAAAAGATTTCACATTTGAATTACTGACCTCTGATATGAATGACCACGTCTACGCATAAAATGTTTGACTTCTTCCTTTTCTTTCTGCGTATCAAAGATGTCTTTCTTTTTTTTAAATTAATTGTACTGGCTGGAACTTTCAGAACATTGACGAATGCATGAGCTGAAAAGAGTGGAAATCTTCGCCTCCTTCCCAAATACAGGGCAAGGAATTCACTCATTTTGTCATGAAATAATGATCTTAGCTGTAGGGGTTTCCTAGGTGGCCTTCATCCCTTTGAAGAAGTTCCTTTTTGGTCTTAGTTTAATGATGTTGTCAGGAATAGATGTCTTCTGCTGAATGCTTCTTCTGTATTGAAATTGTTTTCTCTCTTTTTGGAGGGTGTGGTGGTAGCTATGAGTCAGAATTTGCTCGATGGTAGTGAATTTAAATGTTAACATGAATTGATTTTCAAATGTTAAACCCACTGGTGTATCATTCAAGAAAAAGATGAGGCTTTCTACTCCCATATAGTCCTGGAAACTCACAAGGGCAGTTCTGTTCTGTCCTGTAGGGTAACTAGGAGTCGGAATTGATTCGATAGCAGGGAGTTTGTTTTGTTTTGGGGGCTGTATTATAATTCCTTTTGTATATTATTGGATTCAATTTCCTAACATGACTTTTCATATCTATGTTTACATGGAGGTTCTAGTCTGTAGTTTTCTTGTAAAATCCTTTTATATTGTAGTATCAGTGTGATGCTCCTTTCTTAAATAAGCTGAACACCCCCTCACAACTTTCTAGAAAAGATTTTTTTTTCCATCATTTTATTGGGGGCTCATAATACTCCATACATCAGTTGTATCAAGCGTATTTGTACATGTTGCCATCATCATTTCCAAGACATTTGCCGATTGAGCCTTTGCTATAAGCTCCTTTTCCCCCACCCTCCTGTATCCTTGATCAATTATATATTGTTACTGTTATTTCATGTCTTACCCCGTCCTGTTTTCCTTCACCCACATTCCCATTATTTATCTAATTCATGGGGGGGAGGGGTTCTAGATATCCAATCTTGTGATGGTTTCCCCTTTTCTCACCCTTCCCCTTCCCTGACCACTCCCCTACTTACCCTCATGATATCGCTACTCCCAGTACTGTTCCTGAGGGGTTTATCTTTCGTGAATTCCCTGTGTTGAGAGCTCTTACCTGTACCAATGTGTACTCACCGGTCTGGCCAATTTGTAAGGTTGAACTGGGTCATGGTAGTGGGGGAGAGGAAGTACTCAGGACCTAGAGGAATGATGTGTGATTTGTTGGTGCTATACCACACCTTGGTTAAATCATCCCTTAAACCACTTCTGTCGTTGGGAATATCCAGTTTATCTACAGGTGGGTTTTGGGTCTCCACTCCAACCCCCCTCTTTTCCATTGATATAGTTGTTTTGGATCTTTTGATACCTGTTGCCTGATCCCGTCGATACTTCATGATCACACAGGCTGGTGTGCTGCTTCCTTGTAGGCTTATTTCTGGAAAAGATTTTGATATTAATTCTTCCTTAAATGTTTAGTAGAATTCACAAGTGAAGCCATCTGAGCCACACATTTTCGTGTGGAAGGATTTTGAACTTCCATTTTGTTCATAGATAAAGAAATATGCATATATCAATTATTTTAAAGAGGTTTTCTATAAATTTTATATATGTATATATAACTGTAAAGATATCTATTCTATTATCCTTTCATATATGTGTATGCAGACTACCTGAAAACGTCCTATATCCTTTCTTAAAGTAACAGATCTTCCTGTACTTAATACTTTCTATTGACCAGTCTTAAATTTCACCAATTCTTTTTCTGTAATGTCCAAATTACTGCAGAGCTCATCTCGTTAAAGTTAACCAACATTACAAACTCAGTCTTCATGCCTGGACAGTACCTGAAATTGCTACTCAGAGCTTTATACGCCAGCTTCTTTGCTTTCATGGTGTTTGGATGGGTTGACTAGAGAAACAAATCCAATGGCAGTCATAAGAACTTTATATCAAGAAGCAATTGTATATCGAGAAAACATCCCACTCCCATCCAACTCAAGTCCATAAGTCCAATACTTGTCCTTAGATCCCTATTCAGACTCACACAGCCACATGCAATGATGCAGAATGCAGAAAGAGCACAGGCCGGTGGGTGCAGAGTCTTGTGGATCCATGTCACTGGAAGCATAACAGGGCTCTGGCAGGTCTGAGTGGCCCGCTAGCAGGAAGGTGAAGGCAGAGAGGCGGTTGTTCCCAGAACCCTCCTATGAGAAGGCCACGCCCACAAGGAGGCACTATCAGGCTGTGATCTGAATGACAGGCTAGACTCCACCCCTACACTTTTATATATCAAGTTGACATGAAATCATGTAACTACCACACACGGTGTCTTGGGAGTGTCTCCCTGAATATGCAACTTAAGTGTGAGACTTGAGAAAAATAAGAATGCAGATTTGAGGGCTCCTTATTCAGAGTCTCCCTTCTTTGCAGGATTTTTCCAAGCACTCTGATCGCTCTGCCTTCAGACTCCTCAGCTCAATAAAACCTACTATTGCTTGTTATCTATCCGTTATGTGCCCATGAACTGGGAAGTACTTTCAGGGGAGAAACAAGCTGAATGTGCTCTTAACTAATGTGTCTCTTCTTTCAAGAGTCATATCCCCTCTAGTTTCTGCTTACTGTGCATTATTTATGCCTTCAGATACATTTTCCAAGTTTTGTCCAGAGTTTGTTTTGTTAAGAGAGTTGGTTCAGTACAAACTACTCCACCACTACTGGGGCTAGGGCTGAATTAACTTATTTTTAAAATGGGAGAGAACTGAGAATGATTAAACATTATCAGAGTTCTAATAATTAATAAATGCAACTAAATTTTATCTACAATTAAAATGATTCCATTTTTAAAGTGTGATGATAGTTTTTATAATTCTTTCTTTAAAGATTGTACAATATAATGGATTTTTTTTCTTTTGTAGGATATAACAAATGAAGAACAGAAAAAAATTGAAGCTTTAAAATCAGAAAACAAGAAACTAGAAAAACAAAAAGGAGAGTTGATGATAGGGTTCAAGAAACAATTAAAATTAATTGATGTTTTAAAAAGGCAGAAGGTGAGTATATCCTTTAAAAAAGTCTGGATCATGGCATCTAGATTGTTTTACAAAAATATGTAGCATTTTTCACTTGAGATGTCTAATTTTTATTTTGACATCTTTAAGCACAATGATTTTCAACATAAAATACATTATATGTGTACAAGAAGACATTTAAGATGTATATATAATGTCACAGATGTATACTTATTATCGTGCAAATAAAACCTTAGTATGGAAAATGGGCTGAACATGCAGTAGGAATCCCTTCCATTAAGGGAAGTACCGTATACAAGAATGCCGATTTCCCTAGGGGATTGTGTGCCTCTTGAAACCTTGTAGACATTCCGAGCCACAATTGCTCATTTCTGTACATATGGGGCACTTTCCTTTTTGATAAAGGCTAGGTGTTATTACTGAATTTTATTTTAAAGGAAGATTCAGTGCCACTGTTGTACACACAGGCTTTTTATAGGCTGATCCTGAATATAATTAGCATGTCCATGTAATATGCTTACTGGCCCTGGAGATCACATTTCTACAACAGACCTTGTGTAAAATTTGAATCGCTCTACACACAGTTGTTTTGTGGTCTAAATACTAAATGAGACAATTTTTTAACAGATGCACATTGAAGCTGCCAAGATGCTGTCTTTCACTGAAGAGGAATTTATGAAGGCATTAGAATGGGGAAATTCATAAACGATCTACTAAAACTAGTCTCTTAGAAGATAACTGGTAGTATGTGATGGCTTCTGTTTCATTTAATGTGAACAAATTATAATGGCGTGAATAGTTTTCACTCTTTATAAGTAATGACAGTATTTAATAATTAAAACTAATTTCTGAGATTTCATTATTTGGATTTGGGGCAAACAAAACTAATTTATAATTACTTGAAAGACAAAGGATTTTGTAAAATAAATCAACAAAAATTTAAATTTTTGATTCTTTCTTAGAACCTACTAGCCCCCCCTTTTTTTTTTAACATTTTCACATCTTTCCTTTTATAAAATATTTTATGTCAATTCTAGTTTATAAATGATCATTTATGTGAGAGAAATTTTGTTTTATGTTGTTAGTGACAAATAAGTGTGTTTTTTTTTAAATAAGTGAATTAAATAAAATGCTTTGAAATGTTTTACACTATTTTCTATTCTTTTCCCTTGATAATACACAAAAAAGGTGCTTTAAAGTCAAGTCAGGGAAATAAAGTTCCTAAAGAAAAAGAGTAACATAGAGAAAGGACAGTGCGCTTTGGGGCTGGGCTCTTTCATAGTTAGTCAAGGTGAGTGTGCCATCTCGAGGAGTGGGGACGCAGACAAAACGCTGAACAGCGGGAGTTGAGACGGCGATGTTACTGTCCCGAGTCCGGCTTACAGTCTGTTTTCACATGCACACGGGCACACGCACATGGGCATAGCATATGGGACACTGATAGTGGTTAAACTGCTTGGCTGATAAAGAAAAGATGAGTGGTTTGAACCCACCAGCTGGAATTGACTCAATTGGCTTTGAATTTAGATCTTCACATCTCAGTACAAAAGTAACACAGCTTGACTAAACGCAATTATTTCTGTTGTTATAAAATTTATTCGGCATTGTTTTATTAAACTTTTTTTCTTATAGGTAACAATTAACAAATTATGGTGATATTTTAGACAATACAGATTCCTAGAGTCACCAAACTAAAAAACAAAAGTTATGCTGACATCTAGTGGTAACATTCAAAAGTATCTTGGCTTTACCAAATCTTGATCTCATTTCTCTTCATAAACTTCACTCCTTCTCTGATACGCTTTCCTAAACTCTTCACCAAGCATATCAACATCATCCTCGTTTTTGAATACTCCCTACAAGAAAAATACTTTGTAGGTTACTTTTGAATGCCAAAATAGTTCACTAAATGCGCTCAAGACTAACAAATTCATAGACACAAGTTATCCCCAAACTAATTCACTGAATATACAGAATTTTTAAATAAAAAGAATCAACATTTTCTAAAATTTATGACTTTAATATACTGAATGTTCCTAGGCTGATGTGATGTCTTGATTTCTCGGCTCCAGTGGAGGAACAATAATAGGAATCTAGGTTCTGCTACTTTTCTATCACAGTGACTACTGGTTGGATTGGCTGGGCAGGAATTGAACCTTTGCTATGCCCATCTTTGTCTTGAAACAGCCCAACCGTGCGATGAGACAGAGGGGGTGGGGCCTAGGGCTGAGGGCCTGAGCTGTGGAAGATTCATGCACCAGACGGGCTCCACAGGCCTCAGTTCTGTGGCATTCAGCAAACAAGTCAAAGCTGCTGGGACGAATCAAGGTTTGGAATGAAACCATTTAAATAAATCTCTGAAGTTCTCCACTCTCTCTTCCCTTATATGGCAAAGTGCTCTTTAAGATAAAGTTAAATATATTTATTTTGCCTTCTAAAGCATTTAAACAGTTTAGGTCATTTCGAACCCTTGAGACCTAAGGATACTGCCCTCATGAAGAGATCACTGAAGACATGGGTGCTATTTCAAAGTGTGGTGAAGAAAGCAGACGGTGCTTGGCTACCAAAAGAACAGTGTTTGCGGTCTAAAGGTTTGCCTTCAAACAAACAGCCATCTAAGTTAGGTGTCAGCTAAAGCCACATGGAAGCAGCACACCAGCCCGTGATATCCAAGGATTGTAAATAATGAAATCCAAGACCACAGAGGGAACTGTTTTAGAGTTTAAATTCTGAGTACCCAGTTTGCAGAAGGTTATGGGTGACGGTGCAATTTCAAAAGCATTTTCAGGGTCCCCATGTGTCAACTTCTCATGAATCCCTTTGGTCAGGGATGTGACTAGGCTTCCTATTAGCCAGGGTACATTGGAAAGTGGATTCATGCAGCAGTAGGTTAAAATCTAACACCTTTTCATTTGTGCTCCCTTTTGGCTCATTTTAAATCTCCAGGTTTTCTTTCTTTTCTATTGAGGTTTTTCTGTTATGCTGGTATTGTTGTTGGGTTGTCTTTTTGTTTTTTTCCTTTTGTACATTTTTATTTACATGAAATCCAGGATAGGTAAATCTACAGAGATAGTAACTGTTTCTTAAGGTTATGGCAGGGGAAGTTGGAAGAAATTGGGAGCTAATAATGAGTAAAACAATGAAGAGAATATTCTAGAATTGGTGATGGTTGTATACAACTCTTTTTTCCTTTCTCTACAATTATTTCTAAAAAATATCAAAACTCCTAGACTCTCCCAGAATTTATCATCTATTTTATTAAATTTATCAATTACACATGGCCTTTACCATCAATACACCATTTCATACTCAGGAATCATCTAACCAATTAGACTATCAGGTCCTCATGGAGAGGCAATAATTACGCATGTATTTCTAAATGTGTGGGCTATGTGTCTCTGGCCAAAACACAAAATATGTTTCTTCTGGTTGAATGAAATATCAAATCGCATGACTCCTATCTGCAGAATAATGATTTTATTTGTTTGTGGCCTTGTTTAGAGATACAGTATATCTCAAGTATGCATGAACATGTTATCTTCTGTAAAAACACTGAGTAATAATAACATAACCTCTTACTGTAGAGCAAATCTTAGACTCAGTTCAAACGAGTGTCTTTTATTGGTGTTACCAATTACAGCAGTCTCATATTAATCATCTTTGGTATACAAGAGATCAAAATGGCTCTAGGATAGTTTGGTTTGTTTTCTATCTAAAGACTTCCTATGCAGACATGGGAGGGAGGAAAAAACCTCTACATTTGAAATTCAGTAAACCTAGCTTCAATGTTTACAAAGTGTGCCAAACCAATGCTCTCATTTTGGAGATGTTTAAATGGGTCCAGAGTGGTTCAAAACAGGCTAAGAGCCCACTGACCTTTAGTTACAGCACAAGAAGTGAGCAACACCCAGGACCTCTGACACCCTAAAGCTCTGAAGGTTTTCAATATGAAAGGTCAGGAAGATCAAACCGTAAGTCATACTCACTTTAGGAAGATATCCTAGTAATTGTGTAGCATGTGCTTTGAGAAGCTTTTGCCGTTCCTCTTCAATAATTGTATTAATACACCCTTGTCGTCTTTGCTGCAACCGCCATTCTTCCAGTTCACGTTCCTGGAAATGTACATCAAACTTTCTCAATTTTCACAAAATATATTACTCTTTCAAGAAATTGTCAAATGAGGTTATTTGCACCATGAAGTAGATGACAAAATCAATTAACCGAATGGTAATACTTTCAAAAGTTATTGCCAGCTGTTAGCAGATCAATCCCTACTCCTGGCAACTGCATGGCTGTTAGAGTAGACCCTTGCTCCACAAGGCCTTCACTGCACCGACTGTCAGCCCTTTTGTTCATCCCTGGTGCCTTCTGAAAGCAGCCATTTGTACTACCCAGGAATCCTTCATAAGATACTAGCCAGATAACACACATATTTCCTTTTACCTTCACTATTCCTTTAAAGTCACAAGAACATTATGTGACTTAGATTTTAGGTAGGCAAATACATAGTCTCAGGACAAAAATCTATTGCCATGCGATGTGTTCAAAGGGATTTTTCTAATCCAACAAATATTTATTGAATGTTTATCATATGCCAAGTGCTTAAGACACCTTACAATGTAAAATACATGTTTCTGGATAAAACAGGACAGAAACAGATCTAGAGGATAAATATTTTCTCATATATATTACACATAAAGACTGGACATAGCACATGAATAGAATCAAAATTTCTAGCAGGAGAGCCAGCATTTCTCAAGAAAGAGTTCTGAGTGTTCTGCGGGTAACCACACCAAAACTCTGTCATCAGTGACATTAAAAAAAAGTCCACTGCCATCGGGCTGATTCCAACTCCTAGTCAGTTTCCAAAGCTGTGAACTACGTTTTTACAGAAAATCGGAACTTAACATTATGTTCAAATGAGCCACCGCAAAACCCAAACCAAACCTGTTGCTGTCAAACGGGTCCTAACTAAGAATGGCATCGCGTGTTACAGAATTGAACAGCCTCATAAGGAAGCAGATTGACAGGCCTCGTTATGGCACCACCAACATTTAATCTATACATAATCAAGCACAAAATGTTTGAGCCCTCTCCCCACTACATTAAAGTGTTCAATTCAATGGCACGTACTACATTAAAAATGCTGGTACAACCAACTAGGTTCTAAAGCATTTATTACATCTTAAGAGGCAGTGGTAGTTAATACTTTATGGTTTCAAATCAGGAAAGGTGTGCATCAGGGTTTTACCCTTTCATCAGACTTATTCAGCATGCCATTTGTACGCTGAACAAATCGGCAGAGAAGCTGGATTATATGAAGACGAATGTGGCATCGGGATTTGAGGAAGGCTTATTAACTTGAAGTACAACTCAATATAAAGAAGACCAAAATCCTCACAATTGGCCCAATAAGTAATATGAAGAAAGGACAAAATAATCGAGAACTACAGACTAATATCCCTAATGAACATCGATACAAAAATCCTTAAAGGAAATAGAGGAAAGAACCAAGAGGCAAAGAATATTTATAGAGGCCTAAATACAGCCATGTACATATGTAAATATATATATATAATGAGAGGGGACTAGAACTATGTACTCATATATGTTAAGAATTAAGATTGCAGATGGACATTGGGCCTTGACTCAAGTACTCCCTTAACATAAGAACATTTTGTTCTAACAATCCGGCATTCTGTGACGCTCACCTTCCCGACATAATCACTAAAGACAAAATGGGTGTACTGTATAAACAAATGTGGTAAAGAAAGCTGATGGTGCCTGGCTATCAAAAGATATAGTGTCTGGGGTCTTAAAGGATTAAAGATAAGAGCCCTTCTAGCTCAGAAGCAACAAAGCCCACATGGAAGCAGCACACTAGCCTGTGTGATAATGATGTGTCAATGGTAACAGGTATCAGGCATCAAAGATCCAGAACAAAAAATCATATTGATGTGAATGAGAAGCCAGAGTGGAGACCCAAAGCCCATCTGTAGACAATTGGACATCCCCTCACATAAGGGTCACAAGGAAGAGATGAGCCACTATAGCACCGACAAAACATACAACTTTTCTCTAGTTCTTTAATGCCCCCCCACTATCATGACCCCAATTCTACCTTACAAACCCAGCAAGACCAGAGAATGTACACTGGTACAGGAAACAGCTAGCAACACAAGGAATCCAGAACAGATAAACCCCTCAGGACAAATAATGAGAGGACTGATACCATGAGGGATAGGGGGAAGGTTGGGGGAGAAAAGGGGAATCAATCACAACGATCGACATATAACTCCACCCAGGGGCACAAGCAACAGAAAAGTGGGTGAAGGGAGACCACGGTTGGTGTTGACATGAAACAAAAAAAGATAAATTATTAAGGGTTCATTAGGGAGGGAGGGCGTGGGAGGGAGGGAAAAAGTGAAGAGCTGATACGAAGTGCTCAAGTAGAAAGAAAATGTTTTGGAAATGATGATGACGACATATGTACAAATGCGCTTGACACAATGGATTGATGTATGGATTATGACATGAGCTATAAGAGCCCCCAATAAAATGATTTTAAAAAAGAACAAAAGATTGAAGTTTTCAAGGATTTTGAGTAGCTTGAATCTGCAATTAATGCTCACAAAAGTGTAGTCAAGAGATCAAATGATGCACTGCATTGGGTAAATCTGTTTCACAAGACATCTTTAGAGTATTGAAAAGCAAGGATGTTACTTTAACTGCTAAGGAGCATTTGGCCCCTCCCTCAAAAACAAACACCTCAAGGGGGTCAAATAACAGAACTGTGGGTGACAGAATACATTGGACAATGTAAGATATGAAAAATATACATATATCTCATTAAGGGTTCACGAGGGTGATAGGGTGGGGGAGGGAGGGGGAAAAAAAGGAGCTGTTTTGAGAATGAGGATGGCAGCATCTGTACAAGCTCACCAAATGTAATTGATTTCCGGATTGTTATCATATCTGTAAGAGCCCCGAATAAAATGCTCAATAAAAAATAGACAAACAAACCTAACTCACTGGCATCCAGTTGATGCCAACTCATACAACTGCCCCTGTGAGTTTCTAAAACTGAAATTCTTTATGGGAGTTGAAAACCCCCTTTCTCCGGCAGAGCAGCTGGTCATGTCAAACTGCTGACCTTGCAGTGGGCAGCCCAATGTGTAACCATGACCACGCCATCATATCTTCAATTGTCTAATACGCATGTGAAAGCTGGACAATAAGAAAGACCCAAAAGGAATCAGTACATTGGAACTGTGGTGCTGGTGAGGAATACTGAAAGTACCATAGACTGCCAAAAGAACAAACAAATCTGTCTCGGAAGTACAGCCAGATTTTGTCTCGCCTACTTTGGGCAGGTTGTCAGGAGAGACCAGTGGCCGGAGAAAGACGTCAGGCTTGGGAAAGGAGAGGGGCAGAGAAAAGGAGAAGGGTCTTCAACAAGCTGGACGGACACAGTGTCTGCCTCGATGGGCTCCCACACAGGAACAATTGTGAGGAAGGCGTGTTGTTAGAATCTACAGCAGCATTGATAGCTAGGGTATTGAGAATAGAATGATGCTTTAGCCATTGCTGTCTCTTTCTACTAAATCAAAAGGTTGCGTTTCTTTTATCTCTAAGATGAAATGGGGTCACATAATGACTCATGGAATCATTATACATGAGTTGGGGCTTTTATTCTTTTGAGACTGAATTAGAAGACGAGTTCGGGAGTGCCAGGGCAGAGTGCTGACCGTCTGAAGTGAGATCTGAAGGAGATCCGCTGGGCTTCAGAGTGAGGATGGAAGTGGAAACGCACAGGACTTGTGGCTGACTGAAACAGGAGACTATCCAGGAACGATTCTAAAACATTGGGCCGGGAAGACTGGCTACACAGAGTGTCTTTCATGTTACCATTGGAAAGGTTTATCTAGTATGTTCACCTTTGGAAACGTGAATTCTCAGACACGTCAAAAGATTTCCAACTATGTCCTTTAATATAGAAATATGGCAACAGAACTGTGGCTTTAGTTGATAAGAATAGAGAACCAAAAAATGAACCCAAGAACACTAATATTTTATAAAGCAAGCACCAGACAGCTGTCTCCCTTGGCTTTCTGTGACTATCTAGTTTCTCTTATCATTATGATTATTTCTTGGTCCTGTGGGTTCTTCTCCTTCTACCTGCTAAATTAGAAAGTTCTCCAACACTCAGTCATTGGTCCTCTTTTTGTTCCTCATCGAAATATATTTGTGGCTTGAACCTCTCTGTGATACTTATTTCCAGACCTGTGTTTTATAAGACAAGCTTGACCTAACTGGTATACTCCTTCTTCAACGGTCTTCAGGATGTTTTTCACTCACATTTCAAGTGCAAATTCAACATGCCTAAAAGTATGTCATCTTATTTTATAACACCAACTCAAAGCATAAGAGTACTTATAATTTTAAAGTTTCCCATATTTGGCACTTTAGGATCACTTTGACTCCTTCCTTCATTTTGTCCCAAATGGCCAAAGAAATCACTCAGTTCTCCTATTCTTCTTTTAAAATATTTAACTTCTCTCCCCTGCTCCTCTCAATGCTGTTAATAGTCCATTTCCACGCCTCAGAGGCTCATCCACTCACATCTTAATTATTACTTACATCTCTGCCTATCATTCATGTTTCTCAATGTGGAATAAACCTACTTGTCGATTTAGAACAGCCTCCTCCTGAATTATTTTATTGGTCTCTTATGTGTTTCCAGGAGCCCTGGTGGCACAGAGATACTCGTTGGGCTCCTAATGACAAGATCAGCAGGTCGAAACCACCAGCAACTCGGCAAGAGAAAGACGAGGCACTCTTCTATAAAGAGTTCCAGTCTCAGACACTCACTGGGGCAATGCTAACCTGACCCACAGTTTGCCATGTGACTATGGGAGTGAGTTTGCTTTGTGAATTTTTTAATGTATTCTAAGTAAACACGTAGAGTTCTGCCATGAGTGTTGAGTATTATAAGGCTATCGAGGGGAAAAATGAGGACCTAATGTC